AAACAAATTAAGACAGTAACTAATTAAGTAAATCAATACCTTAACAACCATAGCTTCAAGTCAATAAACCAACTGATGCTAGATTTTCTTCCCCTTTGAACAGAAGGAGAAATTGAGGCTCAGAAAAAGAAGTTATTAGGCCGAGATGCCTTACTAGGTTTGCTCACTCGCCACCACCAGCACCAAGTCTGACTAACCAGCACTTAGTTGTCTCTGCTTTTCCTCATGGTGTATGTTCTTTAATTGTCCACAGTAGCCTGAGCTTTGTGGAACTGGAAGTGACATGCTTGTACTTCCTTCATTTCAAATTTGGCTCAACAAATGTAAAAGAGGAGGCACACGAGTGCTTTGTCTACTTTTTTTTCCAATATTCCTTCTTTCCTATCTGTATACAGCATTCATGGATTTATTCTTACTGTGCCCTGGACGTGAGAACCCCAAAGAGACCACCAGAGACACGAACTCACTGAAATGCAAAAGCAAGATTTATTGAAGCAGTTCAAGCCACCGCAGGGACCTCCTCAAGCCATCCAACACAGCAGAGGCTGGAAGAGGTGCCCGCCCCTCTGCAAGCTCAGTTTTTAAAGGCAAAAACCACAAGGTTACATCATTTAGGGGCACTAGTACAGGTACAATTCTGATTGGCTCAAGTTTTAGGGACTTTTCAGAATTTCTGTGTTATCTTACTTTGTAGTTTTAACCAGTTGTTTGTCAAACTTTATAGATTACCTCCAGCATTGGGGCATTCTGAGATTAATCAATTGTTACCAGATAGTCCTTTAAACATCCTGACTTGGTACTTTGACCATCTCTGGCATTGGGACATTCTATGTTTAATCAGTTGCTACCAGATAGCTCTTCAAACATCCTGACTTTGTCCTGGGACCTATGTCAGCAGCTCTGATAATTTTGAAACTAGGGCTTGTTTCAAGCTGGGGTGGGGGCGTGCTTGAAATGGGGGTGATTTGGTTCTTTATTCTAAATATATTCTCTGGCCCAGTGTCACACAGAGTTTAGTAGATGGAGACAAGATCCAGATCACCTTACCCTAAAATGCTCTCTATCTAGCACGGAGACATCTCCGTGGTACATCTCCACAGCCAGCTGATCATAGGGGCAGTCATCTAAGTTCATTGACTATGGGTATAAAATGAGAAGAAAAAAAAATTTAAGAACCTCATGCTACTGAACAAATTGCTCAACTTCTATGGTCCCATTTTCTGCATCAAAACAATCATAATAGATTTTTACCACTTGCTGCAGTGGTGAAGATAAAACCCAACCATTATAGCAAGGTCTTTTTACAATGACATTTAGATTAGCTTTTGTGTGTGAAATGTGTGTTGATGTACATGTGCCATGGTGTGTACATGGTAGTCAGAGGGTTGGTTCTCTCCTTCCACCATGTGGGTCCTGGGGATCAGACTCAGGTCATCAGGCATCAGCATGTGCTTTTACCTGCTGAGTCATCTCACCAGCCCTACATAAAGGTCTTAGGATACAGTACCTGAAACTGGGGCTTCAATGGGTGGGAGTACTTGTTCTGCAAGCATGAGGCCCTGAGTTAAAACCTGACACACACTGAAAGGGAAAAATCAGTAGCCATCTTGAGAGACGCTTCCCCCTTCCCTTCTCCAAAGGTATTTGCTGACCAGCAGTTTTAGAAGTGACCAGAAGTTGAACTTATGACTGGGACAATAAATCTATGTATCCTGGACGTGGCAAAACAAGTAATGGACTCAACTGACCAGAAGTTGACTTTAGAGGAGAGTAGGACTGGAACAATAAATCTGAATGTATATATCCTGGGTTCAACAAAAGCAGGACATAGGAAGTAAAAAATTTATGTCTCTAAGATACCCTGAATCCTGTTAGCCATCAGTAACCTCATGCTTATAGTTCAGCCAGTAACTTCAAAGAACTGCCTCACCCTTAGCCCCCTTGTCCAATCCCAAACTGCATGTAAACTTTTCCTATATAAACCCCTTAACGTGAGTGCTCAGGGCCGTTCTCCTCCACCCGATGTTGGATGGTGGACCAAGCTTGCTTGTTTTGTTAATAAAAACCTCTGAGTGCTTGCATTGAATAATGGCTCTGTGGTGGTCTTGCTAGGGGGTCTTGAGACCTGGGCACAACAACATACATAAAGCTCATAACAACTGCAGGTACCTGTAACCCCATCATTGTGGGGCAGATACTGTGAGAGCCAAAGTTACATTTAAAATTTTAATTACTTGCCTTAGCGATCCATGAAACGAAAACGCCTCTAATCTACAAGTCTGTTGCCCAAGGACAGATGGTTCCCGAAATGCTGGAAGCAATTTCCCTGTAGCTTTTCACTTCCCTGTACAATTCTGTTTCACCCATCTGCACCAGATGTGCTTGACCACATGTGGGCTGCAGGCATGTTGGCAGGAATACTCGGGATATATGCTTGCCCCGATTGTACCTGACGAGAAATGCAATAAATCATATCTTTTCCTTCTTTGTTTGTCTGATTTTTGATTTTTTTGAGACAAGGTTTCTCTGTGAAACAGTCTTGGCTGTCTTGGAACTCACACTGTAGACCAGGCTATCCTTGAACTCAGAGAGATCCACCTGCCTCTGTCTCCCAAGTGTATGTCTACAGGCCAAAAGAGGGTACCAGATTTCATTACAGATGGCTGTGAGCCACTATATCGTTGCTGGAAATTGAACTCAGGACCTCTGGAAGAGCTGCCAGTACTCTTAACCTCTGAGCTATCTCTCTAGCCCATGGGTTTTCCTTCTTAAGCCCTTACCATACTTGATTCTGGGCCATTTCCCAGAAACCTGGGTATGAACCTGGCCAGAGCCCATCCACCTGGCCGGTATTTATTTAAAGCTTGCTTCAAATTTGGCTTTAAACTATGGTAGTGGTCTTATTCTCCATTTGTGGGATTATGACAGATCCTGAGAGTTCCCTGCACAGACAACCAAGTAAAAACTGCAAGCTGCCAGTTCAATGAAAGATCTATCTCAAGACAATAAGGTGAAGCCCAATAGAAGACATCTGGCTTCTGCATCCACACATTCACAGGCATATCACACACACACAGAGAGAGAGAGAGAGAGAGAGAGAGAGAGAGAGAGAGAGAGAGAGAGAACAGTGACCTACTGGTTGGATTTTTAATTAATATTGACTAAAATAACAAATGGCCTATGTTTGGACATACTAGAGACTAACATGGATGGTCAGACCCACGTCTCATGATGGTGTGTAAATTCTAGAAAGTATACTTTGGCTTGGTGACATAATTCTATTGTTTCATTATCTTTGCTTTTGATTTGATTTTTTTGGAGGGGGAATATCAAGACAGTGTCACTCTCACTATGTAGGCTAAGTGGCCTCAAATTCATGATCCTCATGCCTTAGCCTCCTGAATGTTGGGATTGTAAACATGTACAATCACAACTGCACATTTTTTGGTTTATTGAGACAGGGTCTATATAACCCTGGCTGTCCTGGAACTCCCTATATAGCCAGGCTAACCTTTTACTCACAGAATCTACCTGCCTCTGCCTTCCAAGTACTGAGACTGAAGACATATAACCCAGGGCCTGTTTTACAACTCTTTGAATTAATTACTCAACTGATTTGCATTTGCTCTGTTTCATTCATACTCCTGCCTTCTTAGTTACTATTCCAAATAAACTTTGGTAATCTCTTCTCTGCTTGCCCTGTTCCAAAGAGATAACCTCTCACTCCCCAACAAGTAGACCTGACCTGGCATGGGAATCAAGGGGACACCACAGTGCCTGTGATTATACAGTATCACACCACATAGAGGAAGCCGTTTTGAAAACAGACTCTCAAACAGCTGTTGCCTCTGGGTAATAGGGTAGAGCAGCTACCTGTTTCTGGCTTTGCTGTAGAACACTTTATAAATGTAGGAACTGGCCGGGCAGTGGTGGTGCATGCCTTTAATCCCAGCATTTAGGAGGCAGAGGCTGGTGGACCTTTGTGAGTTTAAGGCCAGCCTGGTCTACAGAGTGAGATACAGGAAAGGTGCAAAGCTACACAGAGAAACCCTGTCTTGAAAAACCACCAAAAAAAAAAAAAATGTAGGAACTGATGTAATAGATGAAGATATAGAGAAAATGTTGTGGTGTACTGTTTAATTAGGGGGAAAGAAACTTAAAGTTAAAAAGTGTGATTACGTTGCACAGTTCATTTGTAAAAAGATATTTTTTTCTAGATATAGAAGTTCATATAGATGATACCGAAAGGGTTTGGGTTTCATGGGAAAGAATTAAAATTTAGACTAGAAATTGAAAGTGCTTGAAGTCTTTCAATGCTTCAACCTTGTAAACAATAATTATTACCGTTTAAAAGTATTTCATCTTCTTAGGATAAAGATTAGGACAGAGGGACTGGTGAGATTACTCTGTGGTTAGGAGAGCATGCTGCTCTTGCAGTGGACCAAGTTTGTTTCCCAGCACCTGTGCCAGGCAATTTGTAACCACCTGTAACTCCAGCTCCAGGGGGACCTGATGCCTCTGGCCTCCATATGAACACAGAGATACATAATTAAAAACAAAATAATATAATCAAGAACAGGGCAAGTCTGTTTGGATTAGATAGAAACTATGTAATCCTTTAGCCAGGCATGGTGGTGTACACCTTTAATTCAGCACTCAGGGGGCAGAGGCAGGCAGATCTCTGTGGGTTCAAAGCCACCCTGGTCTACACAGTGAGTTCCAGGACAGCTAGCAATACATAGTGAGGCCCTATCTCAAAATAAATAAGCAAGCCAGGTGGTGGTGGCATAAGCCTTTAATCCCAGCACTCGGAAGGCAGAGACAGGTGGATCTCTGTGAGTTCGAGGCCAGCCTGGTCTAGAGAGCAAGTTCCAGGATAGGCTCCAAAAGCTACACAGCGAAACCCTGTCTTGAAAAAAAAAAACTAAATAAATAGACAAATAAACAAATAAAATTAGACCAATGAAATGAGGAACAAGAAATAACTTTAACCACTTGGGTTTTCTGTTTTGTTTTGTTTTTAATAAACACGTTTAAATATAAATATAATTACATCATTTCCCTCCTTTTTCTTTTGTTTTGTATTATTGAGATAGCATATCACTCTCTAGCCTAGACTGGCCTGGAACACACAGCAATCCTCCTGCTTCATCATTTTTAAGCCCAAGTCACCACACCCAGCTTCTTTCTGATATTCCAGTTCAGCTTATGAAATAATTTGTATCTGCAAGTGAAATTAAGTATATTGATTAAAACATTTGTGACTAATAAAGCAATCATAGCAAGACAAGTTGCTAAAGAAATATCATTTAACTAGAATCATATTTATTTATTCTTTTTTCATATATTACATCTCAAACACAGTTTCTTCACCCTTCTCTCCTACCAGTCCCTCCCCTGACCTTCCCTCTCCCCCAGAATCACTCTGCCTCCCTTTCTCTTCAGAAAAGGGCAGGCTTCCCAAGGATATCAACTAAGCAGGGCATATCAAGTTACAATTAGACTAGGCACTTCCCCTCATATAAAGGCTGGACAAAGCAGCCCAGTAGGAGGAAAAGGGTCTCAAAGCAGACAAAAGAGTCCCACATGAAGACCAAGCTACACAACTATACTAAACCATAACATCTATGCAGAGGGCCTAGGTCAGACACGTGCAGGCTCCCTGATTATTGGGTCAGTCTCTGTTAGCCCCTATGACCCCAGGTTAGCTGATTTTGTAGATTTTCTTGAGCTCTCCTTGACCCCTCTGGCATCTGCCTGCTTCCTCCCCTCTTCTGTAGGATTCCCCGAGCTCCACCTAATGTTTGGCTGTGGGTCTCTGCATCTGCCACTATCAGTTAACATCATTTTTAAGTCTACAATTATATATTTGATTTTTAAAAAATTACATCACCACAACATAGATTTACATGAAAACCTCAATTTTCAGAAAACACAAAGCAGGCTGAGCAAGCCTTGAGGAGCAAAGCAATAAGCAAGCAGCCTTCCTGTTATTCTGCTCCACTTTCTGCCTTTAGTTCTTGCCCTGACTTCTCTTCAGGGTGGACTACAAGCTATAAAGTGAAATAAACCCTTTCTTCCCCAATTTGATTTTGGTCATGTTTTATCACAGCAATAGAGACCCTAAGACGCCACCTGTCCAACACACACACACACACACACACACACACACACACACACACACACTTTCCCTCCCTATAATTTTTTTCTGCTCCTGGAGGTTGGCAGATGGCTCAGTGATAAAGAATGTCTGCTGCTCTTGCATAGGACTGGAATTCAATTCCCAGTACCCACATCAGGCAGCTCATAGCCACTTGTAACTGCACTTCCAGGAGATCCAACAATCTCTTCTGGCCTCTGCCCACTCATACACAAATCCTTACACAAACATAAACACACACACACACACACACACACACACACACACACACACACACACACAGTGTAAATATTTTTAAATGTATTTGCCAGGTATGGTGGTGCACACCTTTAATTCTAACACTTGGGCATGTGAATTCTAAATAGAGGCATATGGATCTCTGTGAGGTGGAGGTCAGCCTAATCAACATAGTATGTTTCAGGCTAGACAGGGCTACAGAGTGAGATGTTTTAAGAACTTAGCAAAATGACTCTATCGGGATAGATATTAGAATGAACAGCTGTTTTTTAGAAGTAGTTTGACCTAGAAGAATCCTTGTGGAAAACAGTGATCGTTTCTCATCATCTGTAGAATTATTTTGCTGAAGGGGCATTGCAGCCATCCCATGACTTTGGTCACAAGCTACATTGGGTATTATTGTGTATTGCAAATGATACACAATGAAGAACTATGGTCATGAGAGCATGTGACGCCCCTTAGTAAGACTTGTAAATTAATTAGGGACCTTGGTATGAGGAAATACTTTGTGTAACTGTCAATAAGTATGCCTTTGTATGACTGTTCTGGGTTCAGTCCAGCACAGAGGCTGGACCTTCCTGCTGCCACATAGGCCTTAAAATTTCATCTTGGAGTTCCTTATTTTTTCAACTGACCCACGTTACACGGTGCCCCCCAAAAGTGAGACCTTGTGTAAAAACAATAACAATGACAGAAACAACAACAAAAAAGGTAAACTCCTGGGAAAGTATACAACAAAATAATGATTTTTGCTTGGTGGAATTTTCGGTAATTTTTTTTTCCTTTTTATGTTTTCTGTATTTTTAACTAAAAAAAAAAATCAGGTTATATGTTTAGTTGAACAAATAAGGAAGCAAGAATCTGCTTCTGCCTTGCAAGGCTTGGGCCACCATACTCAGAAAGAATATATTCTTTAGAAAAGAGACCATGCCAAGCAGCAGTGACCACCACCCTGGTGGGCACAGGGCTTATAATTTTCTTCTTCCTGTCATCCCCTGTCCTGTGCTTCTCCTATCATGGACACTTATAGGAAAGGGATGTTCTTTCCTCAGAATCCTACTTTATCTGGAATTCAGTCTATTGGAAACAGATACATAAGATGGAAAGATAGAGGCTGACAAGAGGGTTCAGAGGGGTGAAGCTGCTTTTTGCCAAGCTTGATGACTTCAGTTCCATCCCGATGACCCACATGGTAGAAGAGAATAGACTCCCACAGGCTGTTCTCTGACCTCCACACATATGCTGTGGCACGTGTGCACACCACCCCTATAGACACAAATACATAAATGTAAATTTAAAAAAAATCAAGGGATGAGAAGGATGGGTCAGTAGTTAAGAGGGCCTGAGTTTGTTCCTACCACCCACACTGGGTGGCTCACAAACAACTGTCACTCAGGTACCAGGGAGTTCAGTACCTTGGACCCCACAGGCACCTATATTCACATGTACATACACCTTATCACACACACACTCTCGCTCTCTCATTCAAAAATAATAACCATAAAATTTTTCTTTTTAATTGTACAAGATAATGTTTAGGGGTTTCTGTAGCTAGAGTTTTCCTGCCTTGCTCACAGTCAGGACAAATCTTTGTCACCCACCAGTCCCACAGCCGCTCAGACCCAACCAAGTAAACACAGAGACTTATATTGCTTACAAACTGTATGGCTGTGGCAGGCTTCTTGCTATCTGTTCTTATATCTTAAATTAATCCATTTCCACAAATCTATACCTTCCTACATGGCTCGTGGCTTACCAGTACTTTACATCTTCTTTGTCCTGGCGACTGCTGGCAGTGACTCCCTCTGCCTTCCTGTCCTGTTATTTCTCCTCTCTGTTAGTCCTGCCTATACTTCCTGCCTAGCCACGGCCAATCAGGTTTTATTTATTGACCAATCAGAGCAACTTGACATACAGACCATCCCCCAGCACAGCCAAGTGCAGATCATCAGACACCTGCACTCAGGCCTGTGGTCCTAATCATCCTCTATGCGAACCTGCTGGGTAAAGCCACTAGGAACCCAAGAATGGGCTCCCACAGGACATACAGAACATCCCACAGCAGGTTTCAGTATCCCTAAAGTTGAAAATGTTATGAAGGGAAAGAGCAAGAGTACTCTGTGCATGGCCTCCTGGAGAGGAAGTCTTGAGGTTGGTTAATCTAACATAGATAGCATGGACCACTACCATACACTGAGCCCTAAATCTGTTTTTGTGGCCCTGAAGTAACTTGGAGTCAACTACCACTGTTATCTTTACATTTGGACAAGAAGTCAGCCATCCACTATTATCTTTACATCCTGTTCCAGGACCTTAAGCTGCCCCATGTTTTATCTTTAGGAACCCATTGGTCAGTCTCTCCTAGAGCTAACATCCTGCCTAGCATCCCCCAACTACCATCTAGGAACTTGGGACCTGGAATCCTTTGCAGGGATAGGGGTGACTGTTGGCATTCAGGCCTGCCCCTTGGGGACCTGCTTAGCATCCTGATGTTATCTTACATAAAGTCCCCAGTAAGAGGAAAAAAAACTCATACTTTTCTCCTTCTCCTTCCTTCTCTTCCTTTTCTCCTTCCCCTCTCCTTCTTCTTTTCTTCTTCTTCCCCTTTTCCTCTCTCTCTCTTCAGGAGGCTGCAAGCACCTCTGCTTTCCTTTCCCTCCCTTTCTCTCTCTCTTTCCCCCTTCCTCTTCCTCCCTCCCTCTTTCTCTCTATTCCTTCTTCCCTCCCCCTCTAATAAAACTTTCCACATAGATTCCATGCTTGCATGGTGTGAGTAATTTCCCACCACACTGTGCTGTTGTGGCTGCTGCCTGCATGCCATGTCTCCTCAGCTCAAACCCTCTAAGGCCTCTTGCATGCTATTTCACAACAGTGACAACTTACCTGGCTACTTATTGTTGAGTGAAAACATCCTTATGATGAAAGTCAGTGACCTCTGGTTCCTCGAGGGATGGCCAGTTCAGGAGTGCTCTATGGAAGGAGGTGGTCAGAGCAGGCAAAGTGCTACAAGCTGCAGGAAATGGAATTCGACTATCACAAAAGCTACTACTTGCAAAAGTCAAGGACTTCTCCAAAGATCAAGGCATGGCTTAAGAATTCTTAGTGATATTTTAGCTTTTGTATATATATTAGCTGGTTCCTACAGTGATTTTCTTGTAATGTTATGCATGCTTCCAAGACCTCCTAACAGTGTATTTATCTAAAATACCTATCAAGCATCCAAGGCCAAATGAAACAACACCTGTCTACTAGGTCAGGAGGATACTTTATTTCTTGGGCAATATAGAGTGAAACCCTCCTTCCTTACAGCCTTACTAACAGACTCCTAATTTCTTACCTTACCACTTCTAGGAATGTAGATTGAGCACATAAATTCCCTTCTTGACTAACCGATCATTAGCACTCATTTGGGTTGTAAAAGAAAGCCTGATGGCCACCGCCTGAGGAAAATTCTTACCTGCCTTTATGACCCTGTAGGAATTCAAGCCTGGTGACCTGGCTGGAGGGGGAGGATTGCTGTGGCTTGGGTTTATAACTGAACACCTAAGAGACTTGAGAGGATTTAGAGGTATAAGGAGATGAAGAGGAAGAAAGGAGTAGAGAACTTGAGGATGGAGAACCGAAAGAATAAGAAGACTGAGAGGACGAGAGAGAGAGAGGGAAAAAGAGAATGAAAGAACTAGATGGGTAAGACTGGAGAGGAATGAACTAAGATGGGGAAGAATTAGATTGAAGGGCTAAAAGAGAGTACTAGAGGAACAAGATGGAAGATGAGGAAGAGCCTAATGGAGAGGAACAAGATGAGGAAGAACAAGATGAGAAAGAAGGGGATGAGAGAGGAGCTAAGATGGGAAAGAACTAGATGGATGAGAACCTAGATGGGGCAGAACTAAGATGAAGGAATTAAGATAGAACATAGAGGGGACAGTAGATAAATGTAGAGAGAAATCAGGCAAGGAAGGAGCTAGGCATGAAAACAGAATAGAAGCTGTGTAGAGAGAGAACTGACACAGAATAATAAAGTGTACGGATTAAGGAGTTTTCTAGATTCATTTCCTAATCAAAGATTAATTATCAGCTGGTTGTAGATTCTTCTTGGACCCTGGGAGGGGACTATCGAGGGGCTGGACCCCCATAGTCCTCACTAGCACAGGTGGTCAGCCCTGGTCAACATCACTTAAAGGCCCAAAGTCAGAGCAGTCGAGCTCTTTTAGAGGGGTCCTCTTATCCCTTGAGTCTTGGTTGGAGGCCTAGGGCCAATATATTGGTGGTCATTTTAGCTTTCTAATTAATTGGTAAGGTCTCTAAGCTTTAGTAGTTGCACACCAAGAAGGTTGAGGAAGTTACAGGGTCAAGGTGGGGTTTCTAGTTTCCCCAGCAGTGGTCTATTCTTATCTATTTCCTGCTTCTAGGACATTCAGAGACCTCCCTTGGACCTCCCCACACAAACAAATGCCATACACAAAAGGGCTTCTTATGCATGAACAGAACATGGCAACCATTTCTAATATCTTTGAATAATTTTTTTAAACATAAAAGTTATAGCTGGGCATAAGAACACACTTATTTAATCCTAGCCCTTGGGAGGCAGAGAGAGGAGGATCTCTTTCAATTTAAATTCATCTTGGTCTACATAGTGATCTCCAGGCTAGTCAGGGCTGCACAGTAAGACACTTTCTAAAAACATAAATGGGAAAATTATATACAATGTAATTAAAAAAATATATAGTGGCACAAAATATATAGGTGGTGCCCGCCTTTAATCCCAGCATTGGGGAGGTAGAGGCAGGCAGATCCCTGTGAGTTTGAGGTCAGCTTGGTCTGAAAAATGAGTTCCAGAACAGCAAACAGCCAGCCAGGACTGTTACACAGAGAAATCCTGTATTGGAAAACAAACAATAACAAAAAAAAAGAAAGAAAAGAAAAATATATAATTATAATGTGGTTAAGTACTGTACATTTAAAAAAGAGAATAAAGAGAAATTATGAAAATAAAAAGATGGCAATTATATGCCAAGCAAATACTTGCCACAAAAAAAAGTTTAGAAAGAAACCTTAACTATAATCAAAATAGAACCTACAGAAGCAATTGCCTACTGAAAAGGGTGATGATTGCCTAGAGAACTGGCTGATATATAGTCTTAACAAAAGAGGAAGCTTAAGATGTCTTGTACTCAAAGAAAGTGGAAAGAACATGTGAAAAAGGATGAGGCTCCTCACTTTTGGGGGGGTAAGCAGTGCATACCCATGCCTGCACATATGGAGGCCACCTTAGATTTGAGATAAGGTCTCTCACCGAACCTGAGACTTGACACTTCAGGTAGACTAAGTGGCCAGCAAGCTCTAGGAATCTGTCTCTATTTTCTCTAGGCCTGGGATTACAGGCATGCACCACCATACCCAGCTCTGCATGGGTGCTGGGTATCCTACGTGCTTGTACAGCGAGCACTTTTTTCATTGAGCCATCTGATCTCCCCAATCACTCCTGCCTCATCCTCCCAGAGATCCAGTTCTCCTCCTTTCCAAACTCCATTGCTTTCTTCTTGCCTTAAAGCACAATGCATTAACTTTTAGTTTCATGTAAAGAAAATTGGCAGGGACCTTGAGTGTGCTTGGCTATTTCTTGATCATGAAACAAGGTATTCATAATACTAGTCATGGTGACAGACATCTGTAATCCCAAGACAGGGGCACTGAGCAGGAGGATCACATGTTAGAGGCTAGCATGGTAAAACTATCAAAAAATAGAGGCATGTCACTACCAAAGTTTACAAAAAATGTAAACACCAACCCAGCCACAAACCTTTCCATCTACAATAGTGTCCTACCTGCAAGATATGCTAGGGCAACAGTGGCAAAAAGCCTGCCAAACAATATCTCATTTTACTTAAGACGTATTCCACAAAATGGAACCTACACCTGATACTTCTTGGGTAACTAAGAACCTGAGACTAGACAGTCCAGGGACCTAGATGAAAACCAAATTCTATTTTCTGCTAAAGGAACATAGCAATAAAATGACTTCTAATGATATTCTCTGTCATATATTGGTGCCTTGCTCAGCCACCATCAGAGAAGCTTCCTCCTGTAGCAGATAGGAATAAATGTAGAAACTCGCAGTCAGACAATATGCAGAGAGTGAGAGACCTTAGAACACTCAACCTTAAAGGGAATGCCTCCATCAAATCTCGCCCCTGAGGGCTCAGGGGACCCTGAAGAAGAGGAGACAGAAAGAGTGTAAGAGTCAGAGGGGATGAGGACACCAAGGAAGCAAAGTCTTTAAACACAGCAGGACCAATGCACATAAGAACCCACAGAGACTGAGGCAGCATGCACAGGGCCTAGGTCTGTACCTGATGGGGTCCTAGAGCTGAAAGAAGTGGACATGTGCCCTCATCCCTAACCCAGAAGCTATCTGCAATCGATAAACACTTGCAAATGGAAAAATCTCATTTTCTCCAATTGAGTCTCACTGGGGAAACAAATGTCTCAACGGGTTTACTTATTTATTTATTTTATGTAGATGAGTACTCTATCTGCATGTACAACTTTACAAGTGAGATCCTACTATATATCGTTGTGAGCCATCATGTAGTTGCTGGGAATTGAACTCAGGACCTTTGGAAGAGCAGCCTCTGCTCTTAGGCACTGAGCCACCTTTCCAACCACAAACAGTCCGTTTCAAAGGGTAGGTCCCATGCCTATCAGCAGACAGCCAACAGAAAACAAACTCAGAGGCCTTCGAAGGTCCTTTGTTTGATGTCATATTGATTTCTTCTTTTTATCTTTTTTTACATTTATTGTAATTTTATTTTATTCTATTTTTTTTTGCCCTACAGGTCCTTTTCATATATATTATGGCTTCTGGTTTTGTTTTTATGGGATTCCTGAGTATGTGAACATGTGGGTCTCTGCTCTATATTTGTTTCTTGTGCCTTTTCTTGGCCTCTATTCCTTTTGTTTTGTTTTATTCTGATATGTTTATGATTTTATTTTATTATTATCCTTTAGATGCCTGTTTGTTAGGGACAGACAGAATAGAGGTGAATCTGCTATGAAGTCAATACAGGAGCCACATTGTTGTTCAGGAGCCACATAGTTTTGTTATTGCTGTGTTTTGTTTTGGTTTGGTTTTTTGTTATTTATTTGTTGTTTGGTTGATTGGATTTTTGAGACAGGGTTTCTCTGTGTAGCCCTGGCTGTCCTGTGTGCTGATATTCTGTGTATGCTCTAACAAATAAAGCTTTCCTGAAGATCAGAGGGCAAAGCCAGCCACCAGTTAGCCATAGAGGCCAGGCAGTGATGGCACACACCTTTAATCCCAGCACTTGGGATCTCATGCTTTTACTCCCAGTCCTTGGTAGGCACACACACCTTTAATTCCAGCACTAGGGAGGAAGAAATGGAAAGTGAAATGGCTGGGCGGAGAAAAGGAATATAAGGCAGGAGGAGAAAGGAACTCGGGCTTTTTGGCTGAGGAGTTGGTGGGGTGAGAGGTAGCCGTGGCTTGTTTCTTTGTCTCTCGATCTTTCAGCATTTACCCTGATATCTGGCTCTGGGTTTTTATTAAGACCAATTAGGATTCATGCTACAATCCTGGAACTCACTCTGTAGACCAGACTGTCCTGAAACTCAAAGATAAAACTGTCTCTGCCTCTGCTAGAATTAAAGGCATCTGCCACCATACCTGACTTAAGGAACCACATTATTATACATTTGCCATTAAGTCTCAGAAGAATAAGTTTCTGTTTTCTAGACCTAATGTATACCGCAAATCATGTTTTTTAACCTACACTGAACTTGTGACCCCATGATATATGGCCACCCCTTTGCCTGGATAGACTCATGAACCTGTGCTACATGATTGCCCTTTGTCATAGGAAATGTGTCTCTCCAGATACCTTGATGACTCCCCTTCCACATGATGTATTCTTGCACTTATTTTTATGCCTCCTTTCTAACAGCCAACTTTCCCACAGCTGTTTTCTATCACACTTACGTATTCCACAG